ACTCACAAAGCTCCAACATACAAGCTTCAACAAAAGAAAATTCAAAGAACTTAGCGAAGAAGGCTTTGGTGTATTTAACACAATACGTTGAAATGAAGGAAAGCTTATTTATTGATATCTTGATAAATTACAAATATGTACATATACTTGAGTCAAAATAAACAAAACAAGAGGGAGCCTTCACAAAGGTTGCTTAGGAGAAGTCTCAGCAGTCGGTAGAGCCCCAGAAAGAGAAGGCACCGGAGGGGGATCATTCGGAGCCTCAGTACTGGACAGAACCCTAGAAGGAGGAGGCATCAGAGGTTGATCATTTGGAGCTTCATTACGCGGTACAGCCCCAGAAGACGAAGGCAATAAATGCCTTTGGAACAAACCCACAAATCTCTGATGATCAAGTAAAACCTGACCATCAGATTCCTTCATCTGGTCAAGCTTCCTCTTCATGTTTGTAGCATAGTCATGTGCGAGCCGGTGCAACTGTTTATTCTCATGCTTGAGCCCTCTAATCTCCTGTTTGAGACTCATCACTTCAGCCGCCAATGATTCAACTTGGCGGGTTCGAGCAAATAGGCGTTGGGCCATATTAGACACAGAACCTGCACACTGAACACTAAGAGCCAGAGAATCCTTAACAGCCAACTCATCAGACCGTTTGGAAAGTAGTCTGTTATCTTTGGGAGTGAGAAGGTTCCTGGCCACTACCGCAGCGGTCATATCATTCTTCATCACGGAATCCCCAACGGTAAGAGGACCAGTAGGGGAGACGAAGGATGGGCGCCATATGTTGTCTGGAGAAGGCGGGGCTGCCTCTTCAACAAGGTTCAAGTCAAAACGACGGTCGGAGGGGCCAGACATTTTCAAAGGTGTTGAGAAGAGAGAAGAGGTCGGACAAATCAAGATTCTTAGAAGTGCAAGAATGGAGCTTCTACTGGTGGATATTCAAGTGTGCTTTGGAACTTAATGTTAGCCTCTATAAAAATCTGCACTCGACGAAGCTTCAGAAATCGAAGAGGCGTTTGCTTTCTCAAAAGCTGGGCTGCTCAGAGACCACGAGGGTCGATCTCAGAAATCGAAGAGGCGTTTGCTTTCTCAAAAGCTGGGCTGCTCAAAGACCACGAAGGCCGATCTCAGAAATCGAAGAGGTTTGCTTTCTCAAAAGCTGGGCTGCTCAGAGACCACGAGGGCCGATCTCAGAAATCGAAGAGGTTTGCTTTCTCAAAAGCTGGGCTGCTCAGAGACCACGAGGGCCGATCTCAGAAATCGAAGAGGTTTGCTTTCTCAAAAGCTGGGCTGCTCAGAGACCACGAGGGTCGATCTCAGAAATCGAAGAGGCACCTACTTTTCCAGCCTTGTCAGCACCTGTCACACGCACACTCAGCTTTGTGGAAATTATGGGCATTCTGTCGAAGATTTCTGGCGAAGTAGAAAGCACATGAATCGTACTGTTCAATCACCCACTTCCCACACGCAACAGTAGCTCATGGGTACCACATATAACTTTGCCAAAGTTCTCTGACAAAGTTGAGACTACTTTTCCAGCCTTGTCAGCACCTGTCACACGCACACTCAGCTTTGCGGAAATTATGGGCATTCTGTCGAAGATTTCTGGCGAAGTAGAAAGCACATGAATCGTACTGTTCAATCACCCACTTCCCACACGCAACAGTAGCTCATGGGTACCACATATAACTTTGCCAAAGTTCTCTGACAAAGTCGAGACACGTGAAGCTTGCAACTCTCACTACATCGCTCTGACCAAGAAGGGTAAAAGAATAGCAAAGAAACAACACTAACAAAGTTTAGACACATAAATTTTGACGGCCTAGCTACCATATTATTACCCACAAGGGTAAAGGAACAGTACCACTGCTGGATAATTGGAAAGTCCCGGTGTGTCAACCTCTGTGCTTCATGGCAAGGTAGACTAGCAAACATGCCCAACCTTTACTCACATTCGAGAAAACACTCCCAACAAGATTGCTTGCCCCAAAATCGAAGAGGCATCGCCCTCCGAATCTCGAGAGCCAGACTCCCAACATGATTACTTTCTCAAAAAATCGAATAGAGGGTAAAGGAACAGTACCACTGCTGGATAATTTGAAAGTCCCTGTGTGTGTCATCCTCTGTGCTTCGTGGCAAGGTAGACTAGCAAAACATGCCCAACCTTTACTCATATTCGAGAAAACACACCCCAACAAGATTGCTTGCTCCAAAATCGAAGAGGCACCGCCCTCCGAATCTCGAGAGCCAGACTCCTAACATGATTACTTTCTCAAAAATCGAAGAGAGGGTAAAGGAACAGTACCACTGCTGGATAATTGGAAAGTCCCTGTGTGTCAACCTCTGTGCTTCGTGGCAAGGTAGACTAGCAAACATGCCCAACCTTTACTCATATTCGAGAAAACACTCCCAACTCCCAACATGATTACTTTCTCAAAAAATCGAAGACACCGCTCTCCGAATCTCGAGAGCCAGACCCCCAGCATGATTGCTTTCTCAAAAATCGAAGACACCGCTCTCCGAATCTCGAGAGCCAGACCCCCAGCATGATTGCTTTCTCAAAAATCGAAGAGGCATCGTTCTCCGAATCTCGAGAGCCAGATCCCCGACAGGATTGCTTGTTCGAAAAACCGAAGAGGCACCACTTTCCCAACTTCAAGAGCCGGATCTCCTTGGATAAAGCTTGTCTGTAATCTTCACACGCAACATCAGCTTTCCAGATACCACAGACCACTTTTTCAAAAGTGCTCTGACAGAGTTAAAAAACTTGTGAAGCTGGCAGCTCCCACTACCGTGCTATGACCAAGCAGGGTAAAGGAATAGCATTATTACTTGATGTTAGGGAGACTCCTATATATGGCGACCTCCATCCCCAACGGACAGGCAGACCTGCAAAAATGCTCAACCCTTCCTCTTATCTGAGAGGGCACTCCCAACGAAGCCTTTCAAAATATTCAGCTTTCTTTCCCCCCGATAATACCTCTGTAAACAAGCTATACTAGAGCAAGAATATCTCATATCATCAGGGTTAAAAGCAAGAGTATCCCATATCATGCTTTTTCCCTGTCTTTTCCTTTGGCCTTGTTCTTACCTGCAAGACAAGGAGAAAGAGAGCAATCAGTCAGCACTTGGAATCAAGCTTCCAGCCAGGAACTGACTGCCTGGAACCCCTTACCCTGGCATTGCTCTCGAGTACTCATCTTCAACATCTTATGCTTCCAAGGAAGATACCGCATCTGCCTGAGGAAGATAGGGCAAGTGAGAAGGATACAAGGAAGCATGTGGAGAGACAAGCGTAACAGCACACGTGCCGATATATCCACTACTCTGTCAAAAGCAAAAGTATCCCATATCAGCAGGGTCGAACGTACTCTAGATTTGATGGACTTGTTTGACCCTCAAATTCTTCAGTCGGCCTTATACTTTGGAGGGAAACCAGAAAACCAGAAAACCCTCCAGCCCAGTTCAAGAATAAGCCTGTGGAAAGTTACTTCTTCAAAAGCAAAAGTATCCCATATCATCTCTTCTCATTTTTCTTCTCTTTATCCTTCATGCTGCCTGCAAGATAGGGAGAATGTGAACAATCAGCCGGAGCTCTGATTGCTTACCTTGTCTGTTACCTCTTTCAGCAGATCCCCTAGCTCGGCGACTTGGGGGACTCCTACTACATGGTTTGTATCGCGCTTGACCAAGCCTGAAACTACAAGTAAGCTTCAAGTGACATTGATACATTACCTTGTGCATCTCCACCAGTTACAGATACCACCCTTGGATGGAGGAAGAGTACTTCCAGAGAAGATTCCACATCTACCTATGAGACAGATAAGGAAAGTCAAGCCGATACCACACTCCGGGACTTAGAAGTTTCGTGGTTACGAGATCATTCTCCCACAATATTTCCTAATGTCATTTGTACTAAATCATTCACTTGTACTCCCTAAAGGAGAGAGCTTGAACCTATGTACTTGTGTAAACCCTTCACAATTAATGAGAACTCCTCTATTCCGTGGACGTAGCCAATCTGGGTGAATCACGTACATCTTGTGTTTGCTTTCCTATCTCTATCCATTTATATACTTATCCACACTAATGACCGGAGCAATCTAGCGAAGATCACAAAAAGTTACCGTTTTCGCTACCTAGGATCTATCTTGCAAGAGAACGAAGAATTAGATGGAGAGCTCAACCATAGAATACAAGCTGGATGGATGAAGTGTAAGAGTGTATCCGGCGTGTTGTGTGATCGTCGTAGGCCACTGAAGCTCAAGGGAAAATTTTATAGGACGGCAATAAGGCCAACGATGTTGTATGGCACAGAATGTTGGGCGGTGAAGCATCAACATGTACACAAAATGGGTGTAGCGGAGATGAGGATGCTTCGTGGGATGTATGGGCACACGAGAAAGGATAAGATTGGGAATGAGGATATCCAAGGTAAAGTAGGAATAGCCAAAATTGAAGGAAATATGAGAGAAAATTGGTTCCGGTGGTTTGGACATGTGCAAAGAAGGCCTACTGACGCTCCGGTTCGAAAATGTGACTACGGGACAGAAGTTCAGGGCCGAAGGGGTAGAGGAAGACCTAGGAAAACTTTGGAAGAGACCCTAAGAAAAGACTTGATTACTTGGATCTAACGGAGGACATGACACAAAACCGAGCGCAATGGCGTTCTAGGATTCATATAGCCGACCCCACTTAGTGGGAAAAGGCTTTGTTGTTGTTGTTGTTGTTGTAGTTATTACAAGCGCATCTTGGAATAATCCAAAGTGCTTTGGTGCTCATTCTGCACAGTTGCTCCATACTGTCGGGAACAACATCTAATAGCCCCCATCTCCCATTTTTGTTAGTTCATGTTTTATGTAGTGATGGTCTTCTTTGTCCTCATTAACCGTTTGTGGTGGGTTTGGGGTGACACTTTTACTAAGTGCAAGTGTCTGTGGTTTGTATCCCCGCTCACTGCTTTGCTTTGTGTTTAGTTTCATTGTGTTTGCCTCGGCGTAGGCTTTCTTGCTTCTGTTTGGCTTCTTAGCCTTGGGTTCTTCAAAAAAAAAAAAAAAAAAAAAATAGCCCCCATCTTCTTTATCTTCTTGACTGCCCATGGCTTACCCGTCAACCAGAATTAGTGTCATGGACCATGCCATTCCCTGCAATCCCTGCATTTCCCTTTCTATCCACCTGAAACCGCCACCCTTCCGCCAAATCAGTTGGCCAAACACCGTCACCCACCACTCCAACATAACCAAATGGCGTCGCAACACGACTTCCGAGCTCCAAACTCCGGTGGCTGTCACCGACCGAACCGGTGACTGCTCTCCTTCAGTTCCCACACACAAAGTCACCGTTCACGACAGACAACGAGGAGTCTCCCACCAGTTCCTCGTCCCCGAGGTAACTGTCCGAGTCTTAACTTTCTTTTTCTTTCTTTGTTTGGTTGCTGAGAATTTCGCTTAGAAAATTCTATCTATTTTCTCCAGAAAATTAAGTGAATGTGTTGAAATTGAAATTTCAGGACCAGTACATATTGCACACAGCAGAGTCGCAGGACATCACGCTTCCATTCGCTTGCAGGCACGGTACTGTTCGTTCAATCATTTTCTAGTAATAATTTTCTTCAAGAGGATTAAAATTCGGGACTGGCTAAGGTTCATGTAATCAACACAATTACTGTATCGGTCATTTATAGTCATGTATGATATTCTCTCTTTTCCGTTGTATATCTGATTTAGGGTTAATGGTGAATGGATTAAGTAAATGCATGTAATCGTAGCCAAATTCATCCCGCGATATGTTATAAAGTGATGTGGAGATTTTCCAATTCAATCTCTAGAGCATAATTTGATGTAGGTTGGGTTTTCCTTTTTTCCTTTTTTCTTTTTCCAGTTCATTCTATGATAGAATCTCGATTGTTTTTACTTGGCAGGTTGTTGTACCAGTTGTGCAGTACGCGTAAAATCTGGAGAACTTAGACAGCCTGAGGCACTAGGAATTTCTACCGAATTGAAATCAAAGGCATGTAGTTGTGTGGCTTTTTTAGTAGTTTATTCAATGTGTTTTGCATCAAAGATTTGTTATTTGATAATCAACTTACGTTTTCGAGTTTACTTGAAGGTTGGGTTTGTTCTGTGAAGAAATTATAGAAAACAAGAAATGAATTTCAGAACTACTAGTTCATTATCGTCTTAAGTTAATGTATTGAAATTGGAAACAATAATATTGCAAAACAGCATTCCGAATTGCTGACAAAATGTGAAACTTATGGGGTCTTTGATCTTTCAAAACATTTTGGGAACTAGTCCTTTTGTGCTTGGAAGATGTTGATGCATCTGCCCCCTACAATGTCATTAAAATGAGTATTGAGTCCAGACAGCCACAAACTGATTATATTTCCCGACAATGTGGAAATTATGTTAAACTAATAATAATGAATAAAGTAGTCTTGAATTGTTGTAATTTTGTCTGAAATGCAGGGCTATGCACTTCTCTGTGTGGGTTATCCATCATCTGATCTTGAAGTAGAAACGCAAGAGGAGGATGAGGTAATCTACTGAGATCTACCTTTCTCTCTCTGGAAATGTAAAGATCCTATTTGGAAGTCAAAAAGTTCGAATCTATTTCATTGAGATGTAAATAGCATATAAAGTTTACTCTGCCTTTAATGAAAATTGTGGAGTCATTTTTCTGTCATCATATGTGATTTAGTACTAGAACTCTTGTAGCTTTATCTGTTGCAACTACTGTTTGTTCTCTTTTCTTTTTTTATGGATTTATTTGGTATATGATGGTGTTTTGCACTGTGTGATTGATCATGAAAGAAATTGTATCATCCACCTGAATTGTTCATGGATTATTTGTTCCGTCTGTCTTTCCATTCATCTGGTTATAGAAATCTGAAATATTTTCAACTACAGGTATATTGGCTTCAGTTTGGCAGATATTTTGCTCGGGGACCAATTGTGAGTTCCTCCTCATTCTCCAGAATTTTTCAAATTTCTAATAACAAGTTTAAGACTGATATCATGGGGTATTTGAAAAAAATTAAGATTGATATCATGGGGAAACCTCGGACTGAAAACAGATCTCGTGTGGGGAACAGAAGAACAATGATTAAGGCAATGCCAAGAAACAAGTGTATCTTAATAGTACAATATATTCATGATGCAGGAAAGAGATGACTATGCATTGGAGTTAGCTATGGGGGATGAATAAGCAATGTAGAGTATTGGCTTTGGAGTTGCGACCTACTGATTAATCATGGATGTCGTATTTTGTTTGCTTGCCCAGAACGGTATCTTTCCATCTTCATGGACCTTGGTTTATGTACCATCTTTTCCACTGAGTGTACATCCAATGCTAAGTATGGTCGTTGCCTAGGTAATGTTCTCTTATACTTGCTTTGCTGTTGTCATTGTTTTTTAGCTTGGATTGAACAAGGCCATGTGTGGCTTGAGTCAATTATCTAGGATGTTCTCTATGTAATCAATTGTTATGCAATACAAATTATTTCTTTGCTCGATGACAAGAATGAATGATAGGAGATCACTTGTCAATGTATCTATCAAAAATGCTATTCTGAAAATGATCACTTGCTCGATCGCTCATGCCAATAATAACCTGTGCGTGTTACTAATTTGGTTGTGAGCAATGAATATGTGTCGATGCCCCATTTGCTCCTTGTTTTGTACTTTCGTCACTTGTTACTATTTTGTCACCAGGTTAGAATACGCTTGTAGTGGGCAAAATGTATATTGGAAAGTTGTTGCCATTAATACTTTCATTACCTGTTAGAAATGACCATCTTTAGTTCGAATGAAGCAGGACTTCTTTGTTTGTCTTAGTAGTTTTCTTTTGTAGCATCTCTCTCTCTCTCTCTCTCTCTCTCTCTCTCTAGATTCCTAGTTGTATAAAAGAACTGGGAATTCTGTTTTTTCTTTACATTCTAAACATAATCTGTGGCGCGTCTTAAGTTTATAGTCATTTATCTTGTATTGTTTGGATAAGAACCAGATATCAGTTAGTCGGATCTCTTTTTGGACGCCATGAGAGGTAATACTGCTAACCAAGGGAGGAGTAGATCCCTGTCGTCCCCTTGAGGACTGCCATCTGATCATATCCATCACTTAAATAGGAACAAAACGAAATCGGTCATTAAATTTGATCGATAGTGATAATGGGTTTGGTTCGCAAAGTTAGTGCGTCAGCAAGCACTGGCTCACTCTCCTCTCCCATCCTTATTTCGTTGGCCGAATTCTGTGTCTTCAAATTGATAATCAAATGCCGGTTGACAGCACACTGATAAACCTCAAAGGCCAGAAAATCTTTCCAGATTGTCGCTGCTGTCTGTAAAAGGCGCTAACTCCGGTCTTCAAGATACTTATGAGGTTCAATGGTTTGAAAGACGAGCTGGTTGTGGTAGGGATGCATAATGACCTAGTTTTGTGCTGTGCGAGCCATCGATAAATTAAGGACGGCACCGGGCGGGATTATGATCATCCATGTTGTATTTGAGGGTATTTCCGGGCTTAAAAGGAACTCTTGGTTCAGATATATCGCCCTCTCAGTTCCCCTCCACCAAGAGAACGTCCTTATACCAATCCTTGTCCTAACCAGGACAGTCGGTGATGTAAGCAAGCCACCGAAAAGTAGATCGAGACTGAAACAAGTAACGAGTATTAATGCTTTTTCGGATGTGTAGAGAAGGTGAAATTCGGATAAGCCCACTCTGGCATGATACCACTCCTTTAAGCATTCGAAGCAGAAGATAATACGGACGAAAGTAGGAGTAAGGTTGCAAAGACCAATTTGTAAGCTGCGACAAGGGAAATCTCAACCCCAAATCAAGGTAACGAGGATGGATCCTTGTATAAGGACCAAGGGGATCAAAGGTTGGGGAAGATTGGAGGTCACATTATTGGTGTCTTCCCACTAGACACGACACCCGTTGAAGAGATGACTACGACCCGCGAGAAAGGCTTCTTCCTCACCCTTATTACGAACCCTGACCATGTTTGGGGTTATCTAGAACAGCGGGTTGAGTAGGTAAGGAGGAACTGGCGGCCATGATTTTGTTTGAATACAAGTAGGGTAACAACGACAAATGTAAAATTGAAGTGCTTTTTGGGTGAGAGGAAGATTTGGGAATTTAGGAAGAGGAGTGAAAGCAGTGGTACGACATATCGTTAAAGAAGATATTTCAGATCATCCTATTGTTAAATACGGATTGGTTCGTCTCGAGAAATTATTAGATAGTATAGTATTACCACCTGGCACTGACAGCTGGTAGTACCCACCAATAAATGCATGACATGTGGCAAGTTACTTATTAAATAAAAATTAATGGCTGGGTTTTACAAGATCCTAACACCGTTAGGTCTCTGCCAAAAAACTGTTGTGACTGTCTGCCTCTCCTCCTTCCCGATGCCTTTCTCCTCCTTTTCCGCCAAAACTGATTCCTCGTATCCCACCTTTTGGTTTTTCGCCAAAACCAAAAGCTTTTGTTGCGCTCCCAATCGAATCCGTCCTTTTCTCAAGAAAAGGAAAGCTCTGCAACGTTCAAAAAAAAAAAAAAAAAAAAAAAAAGAACCTCATCCCAGTTTACTTGAATCAAAACCCAGAAATCTCATACTACAGGTACTGGAAATTTTTGCTTGAATCTTTCTGCAATTTGGTATTTTTTGCTTGAATCTGACTACGAAAACCAAAAATATGTGTTTCTGTTATTATTTTCTTCTTAAACCTGCAACTGCAGGCAGTGATGTAAAACCCAGGCAGTGTTATATGTCATTTGGTGTTGAATTTGATAAGCTAGTATGTGTTTGTATTGATCATAAAGAAAAGTAGGACAAGAGATAACGTATACATGCAAAGGAGAGAAGGAACAGACTCCTTCAATGATTTTCAAGAAATTGTTGCTTGAATCTTAATGCAATTTGGAATTTTTTGCTTGAATCTTACTGCAATTTCTTGCTTGAATTTTGTTTTACCCTTTTCGATTCCAGCTTGTTTAAATTCTGGGACCATTCTCAAAAAGTAGGCTCCGCACCATTCACAAAAAAGCAAAGCTTCACCAAGGAAGAATATGGATACTGGTAAAATATTTAACCTATCAGCCTATTTGGTTTGTCCTTTTTATTAACAATGTATGGGGTATTTGAGTCTTTTCTTATGTATCTGTACACATCAGCTAAATGAAGGATATTAGATTACTTAGTCATTAAGTTTGGACAGCTGCTATATATAAGGCTGGATAAGGTTGTAATTGTTCAGTTTTTGTTCGGTTAATACAACAGCTTCTTTTGCAAGTTTCCTTTCTTTCTCTTTTTCTCTTCCTCTCTTTTTCTCTGCCATTTCCATATTTTCTTGCGTTTAAGCTTTTCTGAATGTTTCAATGGCTGAACATGCCATTGTTATGATGGTATCAAGAGCTTAGGTTTGGTGAATCTGTGAAGAGGATCCTGACGGGCTCATCAAGCTTTGGAGTTTGTTTTTTTTTTCGACGGATCTGAGAGGCGGTGGTTTCTGATTTTGTCGAGGCGGTGGTTTCTGATTTTGTCGACGAAGTTTTGGTTTCGGTTCGTCGGTGCTGACTCAGGTTATATCCGCTTGATTCTGGTGGTTTCTAGTCAATATTTTCTGGACTTTGTGTTTAATTTCATGGTATAGCTATGAATCTATGATTTGTTGATGTGATAAATGTTAGGGCACGAAGCCTATTGTGGTTTGCTTCCTTGATGAGTCTTTTAGCACGAAGCTCCTTACAGTTTGGGCACGAAGCCTTGATTCTTTCTGACTTGCTGATTGTTTGGGCACGAAGCCTTGATTCTTTCTGAATTGCTGATTGTTTGCACACGCAGCTACTTCTTGTGTGGGCACGAAGCCTATTGTGATTTGCTTCTGTTTGTTTTCTTTCTTGGTTCTTGTTGAAGTCTCGATATGAATACACTCAAAGTGGAAAGTCTTCTTGGTATGTTCACCATTCGGCTGCAAGATGATAATTTTGTCAAGTGGTCTTTTCAATTTCGATCGGTGCTTTAGGGATATGATTTGTTTGATCACTTTGATGGCACATCGGTTTGTCCACCGAAGTTTGTGTTCACTGAAGCTAATGGTATCACTACTGAGATTACAGCAGCATACAAGGAATGGATTAAACAAGATAGAGCTCTTGTTAGTCTTCTTCTTGCTACATTAGGTGATGAGGCTGTGGAATATGTTGTAGGTTGTAAAACTGCACATGAAGCTTGGATGAATTTGCAGGACAGATATGCTACTGTTTCCAGAGCAAGGGTGAATCATCTCAAAACTGAATTGTTGACTATCAAGAAAGGGTCTGATAGTGTTGAAAAATATATGTTGAGGCTTAAGGCTCTTAAAGATCAGCTTATGGCAGCAGGTGAAGTAGTGTCTGAGAATGACTTTATTGTTGCTGCTCTTGCGGGTTTACCGGCTGAGTTTAATATGATTCGTACTGTGATTGTGGCTCGTGAAACTCCTATTTCTTTAAAATAATTTCGAGCACAATTGTTGGCTGCTGAGCGAACAGCTGAAGACTCACAGTCTACTTTGCATTTTCCTATGTCAGCTATGTATTGTCAAGGAGAATCCTCTAATGCTCATTCCTCACAAGATCAAGGAGCTTCTCAGTACTTCTCTGGTGGCTATGGTTTTGTCACTGAAGCTACTAATTCCTCTCAAAGTACTGCTCACAGACCCACTGGTGGCATTGTTTCTCAGGCTTCTCTGCCTCATTTTCATCAACAAGGAAATGGGAATTTTCAGAATAATAGAGGATATCAGCATAATGGCGGAAACAATGGAAGATTTAACAATAGGTCCAGATACAATGGGAATAATAATGGCAGATTCTCAGGCAATTCCAATGGTTTTCCTGGAGGATCAAACAGCAATGGTTTTTTCTGGAGGATCAAACAGCAATGGTTTTCCTGGAGGATCAAACAGTAATGGTTTTTCTGGTAGTTCTAAAGGAGGTTCAAATTGGCAGAATTGGAATGGAAATAGTGGTTTTAAGCCAACATTGATTCCTGAATGTCAAATATGTCATAAAAGAGGCCACACAGCTACTAATTGCTATTCAAGGTATGATGCCAACTCAAGCTCTGTTCCTCCAATTCTGGAGTGTCAAATCTGTGGGAAGAAAGGTCATTCTGCTCTCAATTGTTATCATCGAGGAAATTATGCATATCAAGGTGCTCAACCTCCTTCTTCTTTCAATGCTTTCATTGCACAAGCTCAGCCAAACCTTTCTTCTTCTTCACAACAAAATTAGGTGCTCGACACAGGGGCTACACACCATATGACAGCTGATCTGGATCATTTGACACTTATTACTCCTTTTGAAGGCACTGACAGGATCACAGTGGGCAATGGAGAAGGTTTACCTGTAGCCAATACTGGTTCGGGTTCTCTTTTAACTTCTTCCAAACCTTTAACTCTTCAAATGGTTTTACATGTTCCTCAATTAGCAGCTAGTTTATTATTTGTGTATAGACTATGCAAAGATAATCATTGCTATGTTATACTTGATGAATTTGGTTTCTGGGTGCAGGACAAGGCAACAAA